ACTGGCTTTGACAAATAGAATGTGTTGGAAATAGATGTGTGTTTATTTCAAGCCTAGGCCTCAAGAAATCTTGCAACTTCTGCTCTTGCTGCTGTGGGAATCCTTCTCCTACCACGTGAACAACCTGGAGCTAGCCCGCTAGAGGCTGAGAGACCATGTGGAGCAGAGGCGAGCCTCCCATACCAACCAGCCCACGGCTGATCTGGCAGTGTATTGCTGCTGCTAAAGTGATCCTAGGCAAGGCCAGAACAACCGCCCAGCTGAATCCAGTCAAACTGCGGACTTACTGAATCATTAAGTAAATAAACATTTGTTGTTTTAAGCCACTAAGTTTTGAGGTGTTTGTTATGCAGCAAAAACTAATGGATACACTGTAAGAAATCTAGACTGCAATTGCAAAACTGGCTCACATTAAGATTGGTTCATGCCACTGGGTACATTTAATTAACCTCAGAGAATTTCGGTATCTTCTTCATAAAGTGCTAAGTTAGAGAGACCCTCTTGGTGACAGCATAAAAGATTTAGAAGGACCCTCAGGAAGTCCAACCACCTTGTTCCACTGTTAGAGACCCTGAAGTTCAGAGAAGAGCAGGCTACCATCACTCATTACACAAATATTTCCTGAGTGCTCTCAATGTTCCAGACACTATGCTCCACTGTAATACACAGCATTGGACAAGACAGACCAGATCCTTTCCCCATGGTGGTCACAGTTTAGGGAGGAAATCAGGCATTAAACCAAGTCATCACAAGATAAGTAGATGACCGCAGTGACAAACAGCATGAATTTAAAAGACCTGGTGCCATTTAATGAGAATCATGCAAAGGCGACCTAATGTGGAGGTCACAACGCGCTCCCTGAAGAAGTGATATCTAGGCTGAGGCAAGTCAGTGACAAGGCAAGGGAAGCTTGTGGAGCTCTGAGCATGAGCTTCACAAGTTCAAATGCCAGCTCTCGTGCTCCCTGGCTGAGTCACCTTGATTGAATCAGCCAACATTCTTGATCTTCAGTTGCCTCATCTATAAAATGAACTGAACAATAATGTCTACTCATACTCAAGGCTGTTGTGATGATTAGCTGAAATAAACATTGACAAAAAGGCTTTGCAAGCTGCAAAGTATTTGGGAAATTGTTGAGGATATGACTGTTAATGGTTTGGGGAGGGAGACATTTGTTTGTATCAAGTCTTCTCTCCAAAGGGTGGGGCTCCCCTCTGCCCAGGTCTGGAGCAGACACAGAGTCCCACTGAGTCCCACTTTCCCTTCTTGGTGGAAGGACATTGCCAATGCTTTCTAGTAGGTTCCAGAACAGAATTCACCATAATATAGTTCTGAAAACCAGGGCTCAATATATTACCAAAATACTATCCAAACATTGTGAAAAGGCTCAGATGAGATGTCAGGGCTAACTCTGGTCTGCTGAGATGACCACATTTCAATTGATTATGTACAATTAAATGACATCAGTGGACTCTTCCAAAATAACCACTTCTGGGACCTGGAGTCTTGTTCGCCAGTTGTGCACGTTGGTGCATGTCAATGCAATATAAAGACAGTTTTGCAGCAGCAGCATGATGCTTACTCGGGGACAGGCCAGAGCGGGGCATGGTATGGTGTCCCCAGCAGCAGGAGCAATCCTGCAGCAGAGCTTCCACACCCCACCGAAACTGCAGAGTCTTTCTCACTAGTAGTTCTCCCTAGGGTCATAGGCCCATGTCTTACTCATCTATGGCCTCCATGGGACCTGTCACAGAATAGTGGACATAAATATTTATGAGTTAATGGGCTTCTATTGCCCCAGCTGGAAAATATGTGCCCAGCCTGATGGCTGAGGGATCACTCAACTTGGACTGCCATAGTCCCCCAGTGGTAGAGACAGAGGGTAGAGGTCAGCTCCAGGGCCAGAGTTGCCCTCCAGCTTCCCAAGTTTCTCAGTGGCTATAACCCTCCAATCAGTGTCCTGAGCTGGTCCCTCCCACCCAGCAAGCACCATCGCCTAGGAAACCATCCTCCACGATGCCTGAGAACACTCCCTGGTATCACATTCTGTAGTGACTCCCGGGGGCATCACATGCTGCAGGGATGACCTTCCCCAGGGTCCTGCCCTGCAGGGAGGACCGTCCCTGGAGTGCCAGCCTGCAGTGAGGCCCCACCCTGGCATCACATTCTGCAGGGTGACCCTCCCTGGACCTGCATCGAGGACCCTCTGTGGCATAAGAGTCTATAGTGAGGATGCTCCCAGCTGAGAGAAACATTAATTTTCAAAGACCAGGCTCTCAGTGGAAAATCTGATTTCAACTGGCATCTCTGACCCCCAAAGGGCCGGGATAGGGTTGGGACAGGCTTGCAGGAATAACTCTGCTTCCTTTGCCTCTGGCAAGGCCCTCACAGGAAGCCTCTGCTCCCCTCCCTTGTGCCCTGTCCACAACCCTCCCCTATGGCCTTCAACAACTCCCAGCAGGCAGGGGCACAGTGCATGCCTATGCATGGGCATGTGTGCATCCAAATCAGAACATGTGCCCATGGGTGCTGTGCAGTGGCAAGAGGCGCGGAGCAGCAAGCACCTCACCTCCCTCCTGCTGCAAAGCTCCCCCAAGCATGGGGAGTGTGGGTAAAACATTTCAAGTTTCATCAGGTTCCCAGTCCATTTAAAGCCAACAGTAGCCAGGTAGTTGATTTACAGACAACACGATAGTCCCACTTTGACTGTGCCTTTTAAGGAGACTCAATTGCTATACTTGATCATTCATAGAGGGGACAGTAGTGGGTTGTGCTGGCCCCACTCTGCACCCCCCACCTCCACCCAGGAACAGCTTGGCTCCAGCCAGCCCAGAGCTTAGACCCCCATTCGGGGGGACGGGGCACCCACCTGGCTGGTTGACAGGAGCTCTGGGTTTCCGTCACTCATCCCCACGTAGGCACTGTCACCATCAAGCTAGAACAGAGAGAGAGGGAGAAGCAGCTCTGATTAAAATACTCTCAGGAAGGCACCAGGAGGGGCAGCCAGAGGAGGCCGGGGGCTGAATGCAGGGATCTGTGGGGGCTACAGAAGCCAAATCAGAGCCCAAGATGCCCAAGGCTCCATTTCAGCAGGGCTCCCTCTAGGGTGGAAGGAGCAGCCCCTATTCCATGGCCCTCAAGTGCTCAGGTTCACGCTGTTAAACACACTTAAAATGAATATAGGAAAATCTTTCTGCCCTCTATACCTTGTACATAGACACAGCAGGCTGCCTTGTCAGGCGCTGAGCTGCCCATCCTTGGAAGTATGCAAACACCTCCCTTGACCAAAATGATATCAGGTGACCAGCTAAAGCTGGAATCCCACATGCTGGGGGAGGCCAAGAACACCAGAGCCTTGGGATCAAGACAGCCTGCCCCAGACATGCCCTCTGAGTCTGCCATCCTGAGTGGTTTTGCCCCATCACCTATGCCACCCAGCCGCTAGGGCCATGCCTGGCCACAGGCAGTGAGGACTGGTAAAGACATGTACAGGAACTACATCCCATGTGCAGAGAAGCTGCCAAGTCTGGACTCAGGAAGAGTTCCCTTCAAATCGGCCTAAAAATTCAGGAGCAGGTGCAGGGAAGAGATGTGGGCTCTGGGACCCCTGCCTCCCTCTTTGCCCTGAAGTATGATCTCAAGCTGGTATCTCAACCTCTGAGATTCTTCATCTGTTAAATGAGAATGATGCCTGTAGGCCCCTCTTCATAGGATGTTGCACGGTAGGGCACTTAACTCAACATATTACCATGGAGGGCACTTAATTCGTTAGTTCCCTTCTCTTGAGCTAGGTGTCTTAGATAGGGTTCCCTAGAAGCAGAGCCTGAGGCAAGGGTTCAGATGCATGTGGTAATTAAGGAAGTACTTCTTGGGAATAACCTGTAAGCTTGGGAGGCAAGCTGGACAGGAGTGGATGCAGCTAAGCAAGGATGTGGTCTTGGCTGAAGACTTCCCTCAGCCTCTTCCAGTGGGGAGCTCTGGGGCATGAATTGTACTGCAGTTTTAGTTCCAACACGAAGCAAAGAGAGGCTGCTGTAGCCCAGGTTAGGAAGTCACTGGCCATGGGCTACCCTTAGGGGACATGGGGAGGCATAACCTTCTGAGCAAGGGGTCCCCAATTGTCCAAGGACGATTCCTCAGGGAACTGTACTGGTTGTGAGCCATGTGCAGCCAGCCCATGCTCAAGGCAGACGGGAGACGTCTGCGCGGGTCAGTAAAGGGTTCTGGGCGGGGCACCAATAGCAAACAGCCATTCATTTTCATTGAACCATTTCTGTGTTCAGATATATTCACACAGCTCAAAATTGCAAGAATACAAAAAGCAACGCTACCCCACATCCAGCCATCCGCTGTCCTTCTCCAGAGGCAATGTCTACCAGCTTTTTATATCCTTTCAAAGACCGTCTACATACACACATTTTGGAGTCATTTGTTCTATTCAGGACAGCATGCTGTACCGTTCTGCACTTTCTTTTTCTCTTAGCAACACATCTTAGAAAATGTTTTCTATCGGAACATAATTCTTTCTTCTGTACCCAGGATTCCACGGTATGGATATAACACATATATTTAGCTGAGCACATGGGTAGTTGCATCGTTGCTGGTCTTTTGCTATCCCGATATTGCTCCCATAAATATTTCTGTGCATCTGTCGTTGAGCATGGGTGTGAGTTTATCTATAGGATTTATGTGTATAATTGCTGGGTCCAACTGTATATACATTTGAAATTTAGACCGACATCACCCAGGGCCCTCACAGAGGCCGTAGAAATCCACACGCCGCAACCATGTGAATGTCAGTTTACCCAGCCCCTTTCACTCAGAGAAGCTTTGCCTGACAACTGGCTCAGACGCCAGTCCCCAGCCCTTGTGGGCTGAGAGCCCGCCACCCTTTCTACCAGCATTCCTGATGCCCTCTTTCTTCCATAGCCACTGTTACCTTCTAGCATTCTCTACATTTACTATATTCATTGCTTACAGTTAGAGTCCTCCTACTAAAATGGAGGCTCCCAGGAACCAGGGACCTTCGTCTATCTGTACCTTGATGCCTCCTAAGCTCCTAGAACAGTGCGTGGCACAGAGAAGGTACTCAATACATGTTTGCGAAATAAGTAAATAAAGCAGCCACTACCACGTTCAGATTGCCTCGGACCAGGCCTATCTTCCCATCTAGGCAGTTGGGTTGATCGTTGCACCAAAGAGCTTCGCCAGAACAGGGACAGGGAGAGTCCCTCAGTGACTGCTGGATGATTAAAAGACCAGGCTATTCCATGCCTAGACTTTGGGCACTGACCCCAAATGCAGGACTCCATCTACCACACTGCATCCAGAGCTCATGCTGCAAGACCCTGCTCAGAGGCTGCCTCCTCCAGGAGGCCTGCCATGCTCTCATCTCCTCTGGCTGTTCCTCTTACAGAATAGATTATCTCCACATTTATCATCTGTCCCAGAGTGGGAGCAACATGGAGGCTGGAACTGTGTCCTGGTCATCTCCAAATCTCCCAGAGCCTGGCAGAGGCTGACATTAGGGATGGGGCTATAAATTGGGCACGGTAGGGGAGCTTTCAGCAAAAGCTCCTGGCTACTTGACTCGATGTGTGACCATCGTCATTGGTTATTTTGACAAAAGTAAAACTTTTAATAAACCACACATAACTTTTTTTTTTTTTCTTTTTTTGAGACAGAGTTTCGCTCTTGTTACCCAGGCTGGAATGCAATGGCACAATCTCGGCTCACCGCAACCTCCACCTCCTGGGTTGAAGCAATTCTCCTGCCTCAGCCTCCCGAGTAGCTGGGACTACAGGCATGCGCCACTATGCCCAGCTAATTTTTGTATTTTTAGTAGAGACAGGGTTTCACCATGTTGACCAGGATGGTCTCGATCTCTTGACCTCGTGATCCACCCGCCTCGGCCTCCCAAAGTGCTGGGATTATAGGCATGAGCCACCACACCCGGCCATGTAACTTTTAAGTAGACCCGAATAGAAAGAATAATTGGAAATGGATGAACATCAAGTTTAATGAAGTGTTTGAAACAATTTATAAAGCAATAGTAATCGAACAGTATGGTATAGGAACATGCGTAAGAAACACATGGAAAGATGTCCAAAAAACCTTTGAATGGTCACCATTTATCAAATGCTGGTGAGAACAGAGCCACCACAAGGCCCCGGCCGCCATCTGCTTCATTCCCTGATATGTGCAGTAGGCAACCAATAAATATTTGGTGACTGAATATTCCTGGCACTGAGCAAAATGCTTTACATAAAAGACCTCATTTAATCCTCACAATGACCCAATGAAGAAAGTATCCTTTTCCCTGCTAAGACCAAGGAAACCGGTGGAGAGCGGGTAAGCAGGGGTCCAAGATCACACAGCTGGGGAGAGATGGGATTTAGAAGTCCCTTGTTGGATTGCTTCTGCTTGGTCTGCCCCACTAGCTGCAAGTGCATTCATAGCAGGGACCAGTGCTTTTCTAGATCCTACTGTATCAGCAATAGTCTGCCTGGGGCCTGCGTGTAACAGGCGCTTGGTAAGTGTGTTAGAGATTCAGGAGAAAGAGGAATTATCCACAGAGAGCAGTGGGAATGGCGCTGGAGAGGTAGGGCAAGGGGGCCTGGTCTCCAATACGAGTATGTTAGGGGCAGACGAGGGGGAGGGCAGTGGGGTCCCATGAGGTCATCAGAGACTGTCTTATTCATTCACTCCTTTATTCAACCAGTGTCTAAGAAAGAGCTGCCACGTGCTGGAGTAAAGCTTGCTTCTGGCTTTCAAAGGGCACTTGAGAAGTTGGCAGAGGTTCCCGAGGCAGGGTCTGGGTCCCCTCGGTTCAGTTACCCCTGGGCACCTTGCATGGTGCCCTGGAGCCTGCTGGGCTCAGGACCAGCTGCCAAGCAGCCATGAGCAGAGGCCCTGAGGAGGCGAGGAGGCCTGTTCTCTGCCCACCTCTGCCAGGGTTCCACCACACTGGAACCATTGGAGGGAACAGAGGAGTAGTTGGGGGACACTGAGGGTTCTAAGGCTCCCCCTGGCTCAGCTGCTGGGGCTCTGGGGCCTGGGGCTTATCCCCTCAGTCCCTACTCATTTGGGACCCTTTCTGGATAGATGAACTTGGAAGCCAAGGGGAGAGGTCACAAAGTCACCTCTGCCCTCAGACACAGCAGGGCTATCTCCTCCACATGTGCACAGACAAGATCAAAAACACCCACATCTACACCCACTGCAGTGCATACACTGAGTGTGAACAAAGGCATATGATGCACACCATGTGCACAGCGTGGGCAGCACACACATACACCACAAGCCCACATTTGTGTGGACCCATGTCATATAAGCACAGCCTTCAACACGGAAGCGTTCAACTCACCCATGTACCACGTCCATGGATAACACAAACCAATGCACACACAGCACAAGCGTGAGTGTGCACATATCACAGACCCTTCTACAACTGGGTACACAATAACCCCAGCAGGCGCACAGAAGAAAGCAGGGTGTGTACATATGTGTATAAATATGCCGTGCATCTGCAGCCACTTAAATGTAACTCACATCGATGTGAACACAAACACTGCGTGTGCATAGAAAGACATACGAAGCAAAGATGCACATGAACTTAAATTCAACGCATATTTCACAATTTATCAGTTTCTTAGTCAAAAGTCTTTTTTCACACCACACAGCCTCCCCTATCCTTTAAAATGTGAGAAAAAAAACGTAGGGAGAAACAACAGCTTAAGAATTTCCATGAACGCCAGGAGAACATCCTCTTACCAGTGACTGGAATAGATTAATTTTCCCCATTTCATATTCTAATTATAATTCCTTTTCCCATTGCCATCTTCAGTCCTCATTACAGCTGGAAGATTGTTCTGCAAAAGCCAGGCCTTCATCTTCTCTTCCCAAGAGTTTTGTCATGGAAATGAGTTTTGGAAT